CCCACAGTACCTGGTTCTTTATAAAAGCTTAGTACATCTAAGAAGGGAAAATAACTTGTGTTATCATTAGCAACAGAATCATCTATATATATAAAAGCCTAAGTGACCAGATGACCATCCGGTAGCTATGATGTGCACTGGCCACCAGGGGGCAGACTCTCAATGCAGGAGCTTCCCCCTGGTGGTCAGTGGGCTCCCACAGCAGGAGCGCCGCTCAGCTGACAGACACCGGGCTCACAGCTGGTGAGCGCAGCTGCAGTGGCGTGAATCTCTCCCATGGACCCTCCCCTTGTGCACCCCTGCGGCAGCGGCGGTAGTCGCAGCCGGGCCTGGATGAGCGAGAGCAGCACGGAGCCTAACCCGGGCTCAGGCTCCTCCCTGGCCGCCTGCACTACTTCGTGCTGTGTGGGATCAGCGCAGACAGCAGGCTGGAGCCCAACGAGCTGGCAGGTAAGGCCAGACTGCTGCTGTGCAGAGGTCCACTGATCCCCGCTGGCCAGGCCAAGGGACCCCACCGGTGCATGAGTCCGTGCACCAGGCCTCTAGTTTGTAATAGATTTCTCAACCCATTCACTTTCCCAGTTGGTTATAAATATAATCTGACTATGCCTCCTCTCATTTACATGGCATTTACTTTTTCACGTCTGTAATTATTGGATTGCTAAATCTTGCAATCAACAAGTTGGACATTCAGCTACGACTCTGCAAATAGAATGGCATCGTTTCTGACAGCGAGGGAATATATAGTCAGTGCAGTGTTTCAGCAGCCCGTGACAGCTGTTGGTCGAAGAACATTAATCAAGTAACTGAGATGTTAGAAAATTGGAAGAAATTACACAGGAACCAGGAATAAAAAGGTCTGAGACTGTCTGGGGCCAGCCTTTGAACCTTGCTGAGGAGTCTTAGCCTTCCTGTAAGTGTGAATTCAATGTGTCTTCGGTTTTGTGTGCCTGAGACCCTTTTTATTACAGGTAATTTTCGGCGTAAATCCATCAGCTAGATAAGCTGTCTCTCAGAACTTTCAAATGTCTTTTATTCCATCATCGGCACCGTGGCTGATTCATTTATGAATCACGCAACACTCCCATTTGCAGAGATTGATTCTCGTCTCGGTTTATTTTTCTCCGGGATCTGCCCGAGGCCGTCGGCTCGTGTCCTGAAGGTTAATGCCCAAAGTCAAGCCAGCAACAGAGCCACACGCTGCCAGGTTTCCAAGATGAGGACTGATTCCCTTCGCAGAAATAAACGATTCCTGCCATGTCCCGCGGTCCTGTGCGGCGCTGCCCACGGCTGAGCGAGCGCATCAATGCTGTGTCCCTACCCGCTGTACATACTGATGACACTCTGTTACCGTGACCGACTGAGCAGCGCGGAGGGCGCACCTGCCAGGGACGTGCAGACACGTCGCTTTCCATCCCGGTCTGGACACATCCCTTTGACGTGTATGTTACTTGGGCATCATGGCTTCACCTCCCATGGGCTTTCCGGCCCCACAGCGAAGGTGGAACAGGCCTTTGTGAGCTTTGTTTTCTGAATGATACCCGAGAGGGTCCCGAGGTGACACCCTTGGCCAAAGGCCGATTGTAGGTTTGGAGGGAAAATGACCTGAAGGTGGCTATTGCGAATCCTGACAGATGAGCAGCTCTGTGCGTTTAAGTCTCATAAAAGGCTCTATCTAATGGGCAAATGGATCATTTAATTCAATCACGAGAAACCGTTGGGGCTATATTTTTATGTTCTCCTTTATTGTCATGTTTCGTAGGCTCTGAGGCAGCAGCAGAAGAGAAGAAATGGGGTCTCAGTGATGGTCAACAAGACTGTCCCCCGCGTGGTGCTGACACCCCTGAAGGTGTCTGATGAGCAGTCGGATTCGCCGTCAGGTAAAGAGCCGAAAGGGTCCGCGGGCCAGGCTCCCCCCAGGGAGACTTCCTCGCTGAAGGGAGATGCCAGGAATTCTCTCTGCAACTGAGCAATGGTTCCACTCGAGGTTTTGTTTAATGTTTCTGTACCTTTTGACTCTTTCAGTGATTAAAAAACACAGAGTGTTTTGCTCCTTAAACAAAGGTACCAGCTCGCTCATCAGCAAAGGACTTCCTTTGCTCACGTCAGTAGGGATAGGAAATGGCACTTCTAGGCGGGGTGTTTGCTCTCGCTTTGCTTCTGTGTGGATGTGGGACTTTAATGGCGGACCACATGCTGATGGGCACTGCCCGCAGCAGCAGTTCGGTGGGTGTGCCTTGTTTTGCGGTCCTCGGCTGCAAGCCGGGCATCCTCGATTAGGTTTTGTGTTCTGGCCACATCCTTCCCACCTCAGTGCAGCCCTGACCTTTTCTAATTTACCTCCTGTCACTTCATCAGCGACGTGCCGTTCTGTTTATGATATACCGATGGCTGCATTTTCTGTGCCTACTGCAACGTAAAGTTATTTATAAAGGTACAATCTCTCTCTCTCTCTCTCTCTCTGAGCTTCTCTTCTTGCTTCAGCTTCCTGTCTTGCATCGTCTCTAAGTGATATAATATTGTTGGAGCTTACTGGAGTATTTTTACAAAAGATCTCAGTGTTTCTTTTATAAGCTGTCAGATCAGCGAACGTGTTTTTGACTCCACTATTAGGCCATCTGTTCTTGCTTTTTGTTCTGTGTGATTGATTTATTGGGCTTTCTCTTTGTAGCCAGTAAAGGAATCAGATTGTGGCCCAAGGTAGTGAATTAACTCCTAGAAAAGGAGATTATATCTACAGCTTTTTAAAACAATTTGAGATGTTTCTTTCCAAGGACAGCAAGAGGAAGATAATGACCTAATAACTATTTCCTTTTTTAGGATCCGAATCTAAAAATGGTGAAGCAGACAGCTCAGATAAAGAAATGAAACATGGGCAGAAATCTCCCACTGGAAAACAAACAAGTCAGCACTTAAAACGGTTAAAAAAGTCTGGTTTAGGTGAGTGTTCAATGGACGATGACATTTCACAGTCTGGAGATTTATATCTTTTTGAATGAAATTGTAGAAAGTCTCAGAACATTTTTTTAAGGGTAAAACAAACATTTCTTAAATCATTCCAATTTATCTAAACCAAAAGGGTACTAAATAAGGAAATGTAGTTATAACGGAATGACCTTAAGCATTCAGATGATTAAATATTGCTTAAAAATTGCTAAAATGTGTGAATGACCTTATTGTGTGAAACAAAGGCTAAAGATAAGATACTTAAAATTACATCTATCTTCAAGTATTTATCTGCCAAGTATGATTCTATTTGATGAGCAATATTTTGTTCCCGCCACCGGATTTCACTTTTTAAGAATATACCATATGGGGGGGAATGCAACTTTATAAAGACTTCACTGAGCTGAGAGTACATGTCCTGGGGGTCGGCTGCAGTAAGCTGCCCAGCCTTGCTTTCCATCGGTGCTGCTTGAAATAGTCAGGTGTGCTTGTCTGAAAACTAGTATGAAGCTGCTAATCAGTGTGGGAGACCCCGTCCATGGGTCTTCCAAGTCAGCGCCAGAGTTTCTTCCGAAGATCTCCTTCCTGATAACATCTCATCAGGAACTCCACAGCAGCAGCCGGGGGAGAGGAAGATGAGAAGGAACAAGATGAAAACAAACTGCTCGTGGGCGGCACACTGCCGGTCTCTGCCGGCTCGGCCTTGCTGGAAGTCTGGGCCGAATGGCTTCATTTCTCCTAGTTACTTCACCCCTCAATAAGGGCAGTGATAATGACCTGGGTCGTCGTAACGTTTTGTAAAATGATGGAAACTACACATTTATTGACCTGAACTTTATTCCTGGTTCTGCACTTATTTTCTTGGAAATTTAGGGTAGTTCTTTGCAGAGTTTTTCTGTCTGCAAAATTCAAGCAAGATGGTGACGCATTTATTTTTAGTTTTTTAGTAAAGGTTTATTGATTGCCTGCTATATACCAGGAATTTTGCTAACTCCTAGGCACATTTAATAAGTCTTGCTATATTTTTTTAGCTATCTTCCGGGAAGCAGAATTTATTTTTAATTTTTTTCAATGTAGCATAATTATCTCTTTTGCATTTTTTCCAAAGCTAAATAATTTTATAGTTTTTGTGTAGCCTCAAACGTATGTGTGTGTTTGTGTATAAACACACTTACACATATACTGATGTAGTTTTTATTTTTCTACTAGCCTTTTGGGGGGTTGTAAAATCAATTCTTTAACATGAGTAGCTTCTGAAGTAGAAAACTGTAATGGGAGAATGATATGTAAAGAATGTTCTAAAAAAAAATACCATATTATGATACCCAAAGTAGTTGAAAAGTCATTGACCTTCAATTAAAAATAGTCTGCTGACAAACTCAGTAAATTCAGCATCATATCAGAAAAGTCACCCGGCCGGCATGGCTCAGTGGTTGAGTGTCAACCAACCTATGAACAAGGAGGTCATGGTTTGACTCCAGGTCAAGTTGCAGGCTCGATCCCCAGTGTGTGGGGTGTGCAGGAGTCAGCCGATCAATGATCCTCTCTCATCATTGATGTTTCTGTCTCTCTCCCTTTCCCTTCCTCTCTGAAATCAATAAAAATATATGTTAAAAAATGTCAAGGCACAGGCGTTGCTGTTTAATTGCTTAGCTAGCTTCAGGCCTGGAAGTCAAGGCCATTGTGTGCTGGCCATCAGCATCCTTGCAGGCTCAGGTCTGCAGCCAGGATCTCATTATCTAATTGTTGCCTAGGAGTCCTGCATGCCAGGAAGAAGCTCACTTGTTAAAAACTGTATTGTGAGAGTATTTTAGCTGACTTGTTAGCAAATTAAAAAGGCAATAAAGGAGATTGCTGTGTTCTTTTTAACCTGCTTTCTTTTAGACCTCAAAGTGCTAGAAATAATGAAGCCCCTTAATGAAAGAATGGAGCAGTAAACTCATATTCATGCCCATATCGAATGCAATGGTCTGGGTGTTTTGACAGAAGATTCCTCATTTAGTCCTTACTTCGATTATGTACAGTAGAATTATTTCCACTTTCTTCAGCTGAAGAAACAGGCCCAGAGGATTAAGGAGGTTTGCCCAGACCCATAAATGACACAGCTAAGATACAAGCGAAGACACAGCTAGCTCCAGTCTAAACAGCTCATCTTGGATATGGTCTGACTGTCAAATCCTTTAGCTCAGTGGTCGGCAAACTCATTAGTCAACAGAGCCAAATATCAACAGTACAACGATTGAAATTTCTTTTGAGAGCCAAATTTTTTCAACTTAAACTATATAGGTAGGTACATTGTTATTAACTTAATTAGGGTACTCCTAAGGCTTAGGAAGAGCTACACTCAAGGGGCCAAAGAGCCGCATGTGGCTCGCGAGCCGCAGTTTGCCGACCACTGCTTTAGCTGATATGGTAGGCCTATGGAGACCACTGAGGAGCAGCATGGCCCTCTGTCACATGAGTCTGCCAGAGGTGTTAAAATGCGAGTACTCCAGCCCTGGCTGGTGTGAAGTGTCAGCCTGTGCAGGTTCTCCAGTTCGATTCCCAGTCAAGGGCAGGTACCTGGGATGCAGGTTCCATCCCTGCCCCAGTAGGGGCACGTGGGGTGTGTGCGAGAGGCAACCAATCTATGTGTCTCTCTCACATCAATATTTCTCTATCTGCCTCTCTCTCTCTTTTCCTCCCTTCCCTCTCTTCCCACCTTCCTCTCCTTCCCTCCCTTCCACTCTAATCCTCGGGTGGGGATTAAACAAACAAAAAAATGCAGGCACCCTAGTTATTCTAACAAGGAGAATGAGCAACTCTAAGATTTTTTGGCTGATCTTGTAAAATGAAAGAGATGAGGAAAAAGGTGGGATTTAAATTAAGTCAATTAAGGTAAACATTTGTCAAGATAAACTGCAGGTAATTACTGGGAAGGAAGTGTGACTGACTCTCTAACCTAGCAAGCAGCTTAGGGGAAATGGCTTATTTTGTGCGAATGACGTCAGTAGTACTTATGAAGCCCAATACTCTAGAGTGAAAAGTGAAAAAATGCAAAATGACAGGAAGAGCCTTAAATGTGACCATCTCCAGACAGTAGCCGCTTCTCTTTCAGGAAGGATTGTTCCGATGCTCTGTGGCCTGAGGGAGCTGGCAGAGTGGAAGATTCTCTGTGCTGTGAAGCACTGTAGAGTCTGGATGGTATTTAGCACTCCATAAGGCACGTTGATGGATATTTTGCTCTCCCCTCTTTGCCATTAACCTTGCTCATTTTTTGGGAATAATGACCTTCTGTCCATCTTCGAGGTTCTCACCACACCCCTTATATCCCTCTTATTAGAAGGTGCTAAATACACATTTTAAATTTGTATTTATTGATGAGAAAGAGAGAGACAGAGACAGAGAGAGAGACATACATCAATCCCCTTATATCCCTCTTATTAGAAGGTGCTAAATACACGTTTTAAATTTAAATTTATTGATGAGAGAGAGAGAGAGAGAGAGAGACAGACAGACATACATCAATTTTGCTGTTCCACTTATTGATGCATTCATTGGTTGATTCTTGTATGTGCCCTGACTGGGGATTGAACCCGTAACCTTGACCCTTGACATACCGGAACAACACTCTAACCAACTGAGCTACTCAGCCAGAGCTGAATAAGTTTTGAATGCATTATTTATAGGCAACCAGATGGGCTAGTAGGTTTGTCTATGGATGAGGCATCCTATAGGTTTCTGCATAGTAGGCAAGTTACTTAGATACCCTGGAATAAAAATGACCTCTCCCAGGAGACCTGTGCTCTTGGGATCGGTCATTCTTTGAGGACCAATGTTAGCTTCAGGACCAATGTGAAGAAAGATGAACAACCAGCACTCCCAGCCAGCCAGGCAGGGCGAACTGGTTCTTAATTATCTGTTTTTCCCAGCAGAGTTAGACATCCAATTCTATAGTTTCAGAAATGCGGTTTTCACCTTCTTTGCCATCTCCAAGTAGAGGTAACTGTATAAAAGCCCTAATCCACTGAAGCCATCTATAATAATAAAAGCGTAATATGCTAATTAGACCTGACAGCTGAACAACCTTCCGGATGACCTTCTGGGCGGCAAGGGCTGAGGCAGCCGCCGTGGCTGTGAGGGCTGAGCCCCTTGCATGAATTTCGTGCATCGGGCCTCTAGTTCTAAACAAAAACATGCTACAAGTCTTTTCTAATTTCAGGTAATTCTGAAACTAAACTCAGTAAATATCAGCCTTTAGGGTGTTAATCTAAATTTTCATCCTTATGCTAATTAGACCTGACAGCCAAACAACCTTCCGGACGTCCTTCCGGATGACCTTCTGGGGCTGCAAGGGCTAAGGCAGCCGCCGTGGCTGTGAGGGCTGAGCCCTTTGCATGAATTTCGTGCATCGGGCCTCTAGTTCTAAACGAAAACAAATGCTACAAGTCTTTTCTAACTTCAAGGAATTCTGAAACTAAACTCAGTAAATACCAGCCGTTAGGGTGTTAATCTAAATTTTCATCCTATTGTGAGATTTCCCGAACAGGATATGAAATACTTTTCATCGTCCCTTATGCACTCGCTTTTGGTCTCTGCCATGTTAATTTGTCAAATTGCAAGATAGTCACTGTTTTCAAGGTGGAGGTTTTACCTGAGCTATGCTAATTAGACCTGACAGCTGAACAACCTTCCGGATGACCTTCTGGGCGGCAAGGGCTGAGGCAGCCGCCGTGGCTGTGAGGGCTGAGCCCCTTGCATGAATTTCGTGCATCGGGCCTCTAGTTCTAAACGAAAACAAATGCTACAAGTCTTTTCTAACTTCAAGGAATTCTGAAACTAAACTCAGTAAATACCAGCCGTTAGGGTGTTAATCTAAATTTTCATCCTATTGTGAGATTTCCCGAACAGGATATGAAATACTTTTCATCGTCCCTTATGCAGTTGCTTTTGGTCTCTGCCATGTTAATTTGTCAAATTGCAGGATAGTCACTGTTTTCAAGGTGGAGGTTTTA